GATAGTGGGGGTGGAGTTCCAGGTCAGAACTGAAATTTCTTGCGGCAAGCCTTGGGGGCAGTTATGCAAGATACTACTTGCGAACTGCGTCCGACTTTTATGCCTTGGGGGACGTCATCGCCATCCCCGTGAGCTTCGTTGCCGAGGCCGGACTCGGATTTAGTGAACCGGCGCAACGCTATGTGTGTCCCGTTGCCTAACCCATCGACAGCGTCGCTCGTGACACGCCTCCGAGTCGGACGAAGCAGGCCTCAGGCGCAGGCTGTGTGCTCGTTGTTCGGCCTCAGTCCGGGTTCGTCGAACGAACCCCCTCGGCTCAGTATTCACTGTCCTGCTGGCACTCGGAGCACGGGGTTCGAGGCCAGTAGGGGGCGAGTGCGTGCCACGGGGCCGCCGTAAGGCAGTGAAAAGGCAACACGAGGTGGTAGGGAGCGAAGTCTGTCTCAATGATGACGACACTGGGTTCGGCGAGGACGTGGCTTACGTGTGAGCTGGGAAACTGAGAGGGGAAGGGGATCGCACTTAAGGCCCGTTCAATGTCCCTCTCACAGACACGTTCGTTTCCTGTCAGAAAGGGGAGTTTTGGAGGGTTGGGGCGGGGTTGTGCAAGAAGACAGGCGTTTTTCCACTCCCAGTATTCCCTGAACCGGTGGTGCCTCAGGCTTTCCCGATCCGTGATGTGGAAGGGAGTCGTATCATCCATGTTATCGAAATTAGGCGCATTTAGACATGGACTCGGAGCGCGGGTCTGGTAGACGTGTGTGTAGGCAATGTCCGTTTCGATCGAGTCTGCACGTAGGCATGTAAGACCACGGACGATCAGTTAAATCGGATCGACTGGCTACCCCCTTGGTCGGGAGAACGTCCGATCCGTCGTTATGCCAGCCTGTGCGCGCGTCGAGAAACAGATACTAAGAAAGCAATCCATGGGCAATCACACATTTTAGTCAGCCATCCATTTACCCACCACAGCATGCATCATTCGGGACCACTAAGTGCTCGCTAAATCTTTCGGTCAAAAAGGGAACAGGAAACTGATATGCATACTCAAGCATTTATCGAACTCATGCATCAATCAAATATAAACAAGAGATCGACAAAGGTGTGCGGATTGAGCCACGTCACCGAGAAGGCCTACATCATGATAACCCAAGCAGACAATTGTCATGCCCGATCTCACCAATCTGCAATGAAACAGGAATGAGGAGGGGGGGTGGGGGGAAGTGTGCGAGCTCATTCCACACACACCATAAAGAGAAAATCCGAAATGATTCTCAAGAAGATCGAAAACGGCCGTAACCTACGTAACCCCCTCGGCAGTGGACAAGTGAGGCCGAGTCCGCGACCCCGCGGACGCGTCCGCGCGGCCGCACGACTTCGCGGACGTGTGGCGGCCGGTGGGGAGGGGGGTTGGGGATTCGGGAAGCGCCATGAGGCGGCGCAACCCCAGCCCCACCCCCTCAAGCAAAAAAAAAAAAAAAAAAAAAAAAGCCATTTTTGGGTAGGGGGGTTTGGGTGAGTAGCTTGGCCCCGCAGGCGCACACACACACACACACACACACAAAGAGGTAGGATTGTATATTTCCATGTTCTAGCGGAAGATTCATTCATTTTTGTTTTGTTTTTTTTTCGTTGATTGATTGATTGATTGATTGATTGATTGATTAAATGATTAATTGATTGATTGATTGAGTGGTGGGGGAGGGGTCGCCCCACCCCCCCGCCACCCACCACTCGCGCGCGCACACACACACACACACACTTACATACATGATTTATTTATTTATTATTTTATATATATATATATATATATATATAGTTTTCAATGGATGGAAGTTGAAATCAGTCGATAAAAGATTAGTTAAAAAATGGGTATACACACATATATATACGTAAAAAGGGTATTTTTCCTGCCTGGTTTCGGGATTGTTTGAGCAGATGAATGACACCAGACTTGATACCCTCGGTACATATCCATGATAGTCGAGTTATAGGCTTGAAAAGTTACCTTAAGTACCTTAATTTTTCCCAGTTGTCCTGCGGTTATGGGTTGCATTGGAGTTCTTTTGAAAGGAAAGTTAAGCCAGGATGATGATGATTTTTTTTGGGGCCCGAGGTGAAAAATAGTTGCCACCATGATGCAAACAGCCGGTATCAATGGTGCTCACTGCGAATATTGGAGGCCGCCATGTGGGCTAGATCCCACATGGGTTGGATGGGGCACCCCAATTAGCTTGGGCTTGCCTCGGGCGAACCCTTCGGCTCTGGGTCAATGATAAGGATGATATCTTCAAAAAATAGGCGCGAATTGAGACATTAGTGCTGCGCCTGTTTGAATATCGGTGGACGATCCGATATTTAAGGAACAATGCAAAGTATTCAAACCCTCTTCGTTGATGAGTTCGGACGGCGGCTCCCGTGTTGCGTACTTGCTGCAAGGGATGCTCCGCTCGTCCCTAACTCTTCGACTGCCGAACCTGGTGATGCGCCTGCTCTGATCTATGCCATTTCCTTCTCTCTCTCCCTTCATCTCTTTCTCTCTCTTTTCCTTCCCCCCCCTTTCCCCCTCCTTCTCCTTTCTCCCCCTCTTTCTCTATCTCTCGTCAATTCTCCTGTATAGTTGCTGGCACGTTATTTTGATTCGTCGATTGTGGAGCGCAAATAGGAGTGGTGGTCCGGCCTCCTCATCCAATCGTCCACCGGTAATATGAGCTCATCTCAAGAGTACCATGCCCACCCACCTCCCCTCCCCTCACCTCCCCCCACCCCCTTCCTCCTCCTTTTGCCACCATTCTTCTCTATGCGCTCGTAAGAGCATAGTCCCATTCGGAGCGTTAACAAGGGTTTTTTTTTTCCCTTGATGAGCCAACCTTGGTGGGTGTTGGCGAAAAGGCCTTTGGGATATTTCACTTCCCCCCTTTTTTCGTTACGCCGGCATTTATAGGGTCGCTTGGCCGAACTGGGACATCCCTCGCGTTCCCCCCTTCCCCCGGTTCTTATGTTTGTTTGGTGTGCCTGATGCTCCCTGACTACGCTGCCATGTGAATCTTTTTATGTTTGTGTGGTGATGTTATTTGTAGGAACTTGTCGCTGAATCGGGACTATCTTGAGCATTTCTTTAATAGATGGAGGCAGTTGTTTTCGTCCTCGGCATCATCGTTGTCTGCTCTATACTTTTTGGTTACCTAGCTTTTATTTCCCACTTAATGGATTTGCGCATTCGATCTTGTTGCTGCCAACCTTCAACGCTTGCTAATTGCACTCTCGCCGTTGTGGGAAAGGGGAGGTGTGTAGCGTAGAAATGTCGCGGGGGATACTCACGGAGGGACCTCGGCTTATGTGGATGGTGATAGCGGCATTCGCGGTGATGTCTTCATTGATAGTACTGCTCTTAGTAGGTACCGGTAATAGCATGGGTGGTGGGGACGTGTGCTGGGTGGGTGACCTTCGGAGCCACTCGAGGATGAATGAGGTGATGGTCTTCATGGTTCTGATGTATTTTGCTTTTTTAGCAGTAATCATGGTGCTTCTCGTAATCAGCGATGTGCGGATACCTCGAGTGGCTTGCTATGGCTGTGCGGGGTACGGACGGTGGATGGGCTCAGCAGAATGAATGGGTTGGATGAGAGTTGTTACTCATTTTAGGAGGATTATCATTGATCGGCCCTCGGAAGCGATAAAGTTGCAAGTTAAACTGGAGTGCGGATCTTCTGTGCAAACATATCTTTATGGAGGGGGTTCCTGCATGTTTTTCTGCAATTACGGTGGAGTGCATGAAGTAGGAAGCCTTTCTTGTTCTTCCGTGATTGGAGAGTTAATTTCCCCCCCTTTTTTTAGTGGCTACCTTGGCTCTCCACGAAGGGATTGGATCTTTTGCCAGGGCTGTGAGCGCCATGATTTTTCCACAGTTTCTCGTTGTTATGGCAAAGGGTAGCGAATTAATGATGCGGTGGGCTGGGTTTCGAGGGGCAGGTAGACGTCACTCACCTATTGGGTTGGACCTCGCCGGAGGAGTGTCGCTGAATGATTGAAGAACCAAGGCGTTGTGGTGGGAGTAGAGGTTCGGATGCTCGGTAAAATGGGTGTATAATTTTTTTGGATTGATATGGTGTCTTGGTCGTTGCTAAATATGTGTGAATTTTTGTGAATCATCTGGATGGGGGAAGTTTTCCTTAGGGTTATTATGCTGATCCTCTGGTGATCTCTTGTGTGTATCGATCGCTGTTTCCTTCCTCCTCTTGCTTCCCCTTATATCCCATATCTTCATCCTCATCTATGAATGGGCTCTTCCCTCCCTTTCCCATGCCTCTCGTATACTTTCCCTCGTAGCTCCCGTCTTTCTGTATGATCCTGCTCTCTCTCTCTCTCTCTCCCCCCCTGCTTGCAACTTCCCCTTTTTTTCCCCGTTTTTGTTCTAAGTTCTGTTTCTCGACCATGAATGCGTACAAACGTGGATGGTTGATGCAAATTGCTATGTCATGGATATATACCACCTTTATTTCACTCTCCCTCGTGCCTTGTGGGTACTATATACCATGGATAAGCTGATCTTCCCTCCCGTTTTTTGAATGGCTTGAAGAGCATCGAGCTGAGTTTTGCAGCCCACCATGAGTATTCTCATGGGGGTTTCGTATCATGCTACACACTCACAGGGCACTTGCGCCCACCCATTTGCCAGTAGGGAGGTCGACTCCCCCCTGCCGGGTTGTATACAGTTGTTCGATGATGCAAGCTCTGAAAAACGGACCCATTGGCTATGTTATGGATTAATCCTGTGAGAGAATGGGGGAATGCATGGTTGCTGTGTATCCTGCCCGACATTTCTGCTCACCATTTGCTATTTGTTTGCCATATGACAGAAACCCATCTTCTCGCCCAAGGGATGGTACTCTAAAGTCATTCTGGGAGAACAGGCGTGGATGGAGCAGTTCGATCCTCCGTCCCGCCCTGCTCAAGCGTTGATCTCACTCGCGCATCCGAGGGTTATTGAGTTCGTGAGGGTGAATTCTCTGCATGTTCCTCCCCCTAACCCCTCACTCATCTCGGTGCTTACTTTTAACGACTGGGCTGACATCATTTGGCCTTCTACTTATGACAAGGAATCCTTCCCGCAGATGTCTAGGGACTATGTCCTAGGGGCCAAGGAGTTAGTGGAAGAGGATCTGTTGGTTGAGGCTACGATCAGGGATGAAGTCTTGATGACGGAGAAGGTCTTCATAGAGCTATGGAATGCGGTGTCTGAATTTCACGCGGACTTGGTCCAACCCATGCCCCAGGAGCCCTGTGGATCAGAGCCGGACTCTGATGAGGATGATGACCTCCCTCTCACAGAGGAGGAAAGGGCATTCCACACTAAGTTTGTGGCGGAATCGGGTGCCCAGTTAGCCATCAGATTAGCAAAGGAGAGGACGAAGGGTGTCAATAAATTCACTCGTAATGCCTTTCTCCCAATCGCTCCCCCTAGATGGATTGAGTCGGAGGCGAAATCTCTTGGGGACAAGGTATGGGAGTTTGAGACTTTTAACCACCTGGCCCCCATTAGTGTCAATGCCTATAGGCCGTTGGCATCTCTCACGGAGGAGGAGGTTAACCTCTGTCAGGAGGGGGCGCTTAATGAGAACACGAAGGTGATCAAGGGCCCTTACCAGCACACTGCAGAAGCCATGAAACTTCCCACGGTCGGACTATTTGATCCCCTCAAGTGCAAGGTCTCCTCCACAACCTTAGCTATTAGAGGGTTTTTTCCTCCGAAGGGGCAGGCTGCGTTAGCTGAGTTGAAGAGGGTATGGAACGTGGGGAGACCGTATCTGAAGTGTCGATGTGTGCAGTTGGGCAAGGGTGACTGCAAAACTAAAATAACGTGGTTTGACCAGGTTCTGTGGTATTTGCTTGCCAATCCAAACTTCTTATTTCCCGCGGCCCCGACTCTCCGAGCGAACATGAGGGCAATGAGAACTTTCCTGAAGAAGACCTGGCGAGCGCCCATTCTTGCATGTGTGGTCTTTTCCCATATGAGGGAAATCATGATCAAGATGGCACATGCGATGGTACGCAACCCTGTTGTAAGGCAGGAGAAGGTCCTTGATGACGAAGTCCTCATGTTGCGAAAGTTTCCCAAAAAGATGGCCTTGCTGTTGCTGCCTGACCGCTACCTCAAAAGTCCATCGAAGCGCGGTAGGCTCCCTCCCGAGGATGCTCGCCCTGCGAAGCATCTGAATAACACGATCTTATCGTATTATGTCTGACCGCAGCATGACCCGCTGCCAGTTAACAACGGACGTCTTACTGACGCAACCGGGGAGGGACGAGCTGCAGTAACTTCAACCCCGCCAAAGTCAACCATCTCGTTTCAAGATGATTCTCTGAACTCTGCCTCCAGCAAGCCCCCACAATGGGGCAACAGGGCTGGTGCATCGGCCAGGATATTCGTTTCGTACATAAGCAAGCAGGTGATCGTCTGGTAAGGATAGGCAGATTCCGGAGTGTAGTTTTTGCGTGTGCTGATTTTGTTTGATCGCGATTTGAATAATGTGTGCAGGAGGTATTGGACGGGAAGGGCAGGTTGGTTGTTGACGAAGCAGGCAGGAATAAATGGTCGAGTGCCTCTTCGCCGCGCGCGAAGTTGTGTGTCCATACTAAATATGAGAATAGGGCAATGGAGGTTGTCCGGTTCAGAGTTATCGTCGAGAGGGTGTTTGAAGAATTTTTTTCACCAACTGCAGTTATCCTCCTTGTTACTGTTGTTCTGGATTGGACTTATCATGAGCCGCTTGGCTCCCTTCTGTACAGGCCATCTTCTGTTCTTAGAGATTTCGTTTTGGAGGAATGGCTTAATTTTTACATTGACAATGCTCATTGTCCTTGTACTCCGAGTATATTTTCTCGTTTTCATGCCTCTGAGACCATGGACATGGCCCAACCTTTTGTTGTCCCATGTCAACATGTCCTCACGATCGACGCCACGATATCTCAAAACCGGCAGCTATCCCTGCTACTATCCCAAGGATTAAACCATATCCCCCCTCGTCCACGATCTGCTGTGTGTGCGCTCCAGTCTATTCTCGACTCTTGGGATTGCATTGTCAAGCATGTGCAGGGCAGAATGTTTATTCCTCCGCCAGCAGTGAAATTGGTACTGCCTTTGTCAGAAAACAGATCAGCATGCAAATTGCTACTCTGGGCCTAAGAGGGCACTCGGACCCACCATACCCACTGGATACTAATCCATTGAGATTTGAGATCAGATTCCTGACCAAAAATTTGTATGTTTCTGGGACTGACAAAGCAGCCAACACACCTTCGTTTTCCTGCATACACTTAGTAAGGAAGCTGGCTCTGGGAAGGTTGTCTGGAGAGGACTTTGAGATAACGGATCTTGGAGGCACTGATATCCTGGATGAGGCAGAGCAATCGTTAGCAGGGATTTCTCCATATGTCCCGCTTGGCCCGAAAAAAATCCCATATCTTATGGCCTTGTACAAACACCACAAGAAAACTTTCAGGAGGTTGACCAATGCTGCCGAGACGTTCCTCACCCCAGTGGCTTCCCTTTGTGATGAGATTATTAAAGCTCTAATCCCCTTGGTCAAAACCCGGTGCAAAAAGTTAACTGATGGTCTCCGTGCCTTTCATGGTTTGGATACGACTGTGTGGTGGACCATAGATTCCGTACAGGACTATTGTTATAACCTGCCTGAAAGAGTCTTCACGGTCTTCTCAGGTGACATTACCCGGTGCTTTGAAACCATTCCCATTGGGACTGACGAGGACGGCCTCCCAGCGGCATTTAGATTCTTTTTTGACATTGCGTGGAAAATGGCTGATGAGATGAAAGTTGGTTCACTGATGAGGTGCAGGGCTTTGAGGAATGGGGAGTTTAACTGTTCAATGACCAAAAAGGTGGTTGCAAATAGCAGGACGATGTTCCTCCTTACTAAGGAATATGTCACCCGGCTGGTTGATTGGGTACTCAGTAAATGTTACATATCCCTGGGCGGTGTAATCTGGAAGCAGACCAAGGGTATTCCTATGGGATTGCCCTGTTCTCCCTCCCTCTGTAACCTCTACTTTTTCAAATATGAGTTGCAGTTCATCATGCGCATTATTCGCAACAGAGCCTATGATGCCCTTCCCTTATTCAAGTACACCTATAGATACATTGATGATCTCCATAGCTTGAACAACCCGTTAATCCTCAGATTTCTGGATCCTGAGCAGCCGAGGGAGGATTCTAACATTTTTCACATATACCCTATGCACTTGATTGAGATAAAAAATCAGACTGAAGTATTTTTGAAGCATGACTTGGGGGAGATGTATGGCTTCAAAACCCAGTTTCTCAACTCTGAGATCTCGGTAACCTCGGATGCTGCTGGTGAATTCACAAGAACACTGCTCTAAAGGAAATCATGCAGCTGGTTAGTGACATGGTTGCCAACGGTTCTCTCCTCAGAAGGTGCCTTGCTTGTGTAAATAGGGTCCTTAACTCGCCTTCTCTGTATATGCACCCTAGAACTGATGTTGCGGCAACAGCCATCAAGCTCAAGGTACGAAATCATCCTGCCTTTCTTTGCGTATGTTCGCTGTGCATGATGGTATGTGTTTGTGTTTGTGTAATCTTTACATACCAGCCTCGACCGGTAGGGTTGTTATGGTAGCTGACTGATACCTGGCCTGATTAAGGCAGGTACCAGTTACCTGCCTTAACAGTCCTAGGTCAGCCAGCGGGGCAGGGGTGGGGCACACACACACACACACACACACACACACTTACATACATGATTTATTTATATATATATATATATATATATATATAGTTTTCAATGGATGGAAGTTGAAATCAGTCGATGAAAGATTAGTTAAAAAATGGGTATACACATATATATATATACGTAAAAAGGGTATTTTTCCTGCCTGGTTCCAGGATTGTTTGAGCAGATGAATGACACCAGACTTGATACCCTCAGTACATATCCATGATAGTCGGGTTATAGGCTTGAAAAGTTACCTTAAGTACCTTAATTTTTCCTAGCTGTTCTGCGGTTATGGGTTGCATTGGAGTTCTTTTGAAAGGAAAGTTAAGCCAGGATGATGATGATTTTTTTTGGGCCCCGAGGTGAAAAATAGTTGCCACCATGATGCAAACAGCCGGTATCAATGGTGCTCACCGCGAATATTGGAGGCTGCCATGTGGGCTAAATCCCACATGGGTTGGATGGGGCACCCCAATTAGCTTGGGCCTGCCTCGGGCGAACCCTTCGGCTCTGGGCCAATGATGAGGATGATATCTTCAAAAAATAGGCGCGAATTGAGACACTAGTGCTACGCCTGTTTGAATATCGGTTGACGATCCGATATTTAAGGAACAATGCAAAGTATTCAAACCCTCTTCGTTGATGAGTTCGAACGGCGGCTCCCGTGTTGCGTACTTGCTGCAAGGGATGCTCCGCTCGTCCCTAACTGTTTGACTGCCGAACTTGGTGATGCTGCTCTGATCTATGCTATTTCCTTCTCTCTCTCCCTTCATCTCTTTCTCTCTCTTTTTCCCCCGCCCCCTTTCCCCCTCCTTCTCCTTTCTCCCCCTCTCTCTCTCTCTCTCGTCCATTCTCCTGTATAGTTGCTAGCGCGTTATTTTGATTCGTCGATTGTGGAGCGCAAATATGAGTGGTGGTCCGGCCTCCTCATCCAATCGTCCACCGGTAATATGAGCTCATCTCAAGAGTACCGGCCTCCTCATCCACACACACACACACACACATTCAAACACACACACACACACTCAAACACACACACACACATTCAAACACACACACACAC